AAAAAAAATATTTTGGATTTCCCGCTTTTGGACCAAACGCTACCTCCTCACCAAATTTCAGCGAAATCGGTGATGGTCGACCTAGAAATCACGGGAAAATTGGTCGATCTGACATGGAATCACCCCTATGGAAGAACACAATTTGTTTTAATGAAAACATTTGGGGATCCCCGGAACGGTAGGCACAGCTGGCGTTGCTGGTGATCTTGGTGGCAGCCCAAGTGGACTTCATCGTGGGGAGTTTCATGAGACCCTCTTCCAAGGACACCATTGCCAAGGGATTCGTCGGATACAAAGGTCTTCGTGATGCCTATCTGAAACGAATTTTCTCAGGACTCCTTGTTTCACGCGTGTTTCTTTCGTGTCTCGTACGTGTGTTTAGAGGAGGTTTTCCGTCACAACTGGTACAGTGCATACAGGCCGTCGAGGATCGACGATTCGGATCAGGGATTCTTCTCCGTCTTTGCCGTTTTCTTCCCTTCCGTCACCGGCATTGCCGCTGGTGCTAACATGTCCGGAGATCTCAAGGTCTCTCATGACTATCCTTTCTCTTCGACGTATTTATTTCAATGCAGATTCTGATCATAAACATAAGGCGCAATGGAGCCATAGGGAGAATGGTAGCTCGTAATGACCCATTTCAATAAATAAATGTAATGTTACCCGTATATCTCACATGGGCGCATTATCTTGGAAGTAATAATATAATTAGTGTCTCCAAGACCACTAACAAGGAACTTTCACGAAGTGTGACGCTCCGATTTTAACCAAAATTTGTACAAATGCAGTACATAATTATTAAATACTGTAAATAAACTTTCACGTGTCCTCGTTGCTTCCTTCAGATGCAATTGAGAAACGACCCCAATCCTAATGGTCCACATTTTTTTAGTCTGAGTGTTTTGTTGGTTCTGTTTCTCGGAATCATCATGTCGATCAACCCTCTCACTGTTTTTAAGCTCTTTGAAGCTAAATTTCCCTACTGGACCTCTACATCAGTGCCATCAGATGTCGAAGTCGATTTGGCAGCAAAATAACTTGCTAAATTTTTTTATGTTAAAATAATTTTGAAAAAAAATATTCTATCACTGATCCTGTTTCATTTCAGAGACTTTGAAGACATGTGTCGAAGGGGGTGAATTTCAGTATGAATTTGAAAATAAATAAAAGCTGGATATGTGGATCGGAGGCCGGAGGCACATATCACGGTAGTTCAATATTGCTTCGAAATGGACATCTTTCAATAGAACTGTCGAAAATTAATACGTGATGGTGTTTGGAATGTGACCACATTCATAAGATGCTCCTATTGTGAGCTACGCCTTTGTTTCTCCCATTTTTATATTGATTTTCATTATTGCACCTCATAATTTTCGAAATTTAATAAATCAGTCCTTGGGCCACGAGGGCACGTGAAATTTTATTTACAGTATTTAATAATTATGTATTGCATTTGTACAAATTTTTGTTAGAATCGGAACGTCACACTTCGTGAATGTTCCTTGTAAGCTTCATTTTCGGTCCGTAACCTCCTGAGACCTGGAAATAAATGTTTGGGGATCTGCTTTTTTTTATAGTTCTGAAGGCCAAACATATACCCAGAACAAAAACCTAATGAACTTATTTGTATGCATTAGGCTGCATTGCACTCATCTTGTTCTGGGGCAGTGCCTGCTGGGATATCGGAGACCCCGTTATTACTCGAAATAATGAAAAACATTTAATACCATAGAACTCCCAGATCGAATAGAAACAATTCCTTCAGAACCGGTTTCACTACGCGAATTTGAAGTGTTCAAAGACTCGCTATGTATAAAATAGAAACGTTATGCCTTAATACAAGGTGGGTAGGACAAATTGTGAACGCATTCCATTTAGTGGCTGTCATCAGTAGTCCTTCCACTCCATGAAAAATATGGTGTTGGATGTAAAGTCGAGTGTACTCACTGTTTTGGAAAACTGGAGGTGTGACATCTTGCCTAACTTCTCGTATTCTCCAGACTCTTGTCCCTGAGACTTCTGTCTGCCTCCAAGCATGGAGAACGAGCTCCGTGAGAACGCAATAACATTCTGGATGAAGTGAATGCAGCGGTGGCTATGGCATAGAAGTACAGGGAAATTCAATAGTCACTCCGAAATTTATTTTCTTTATATTTCTACAGATTTCGAATCTTTTAAGGTGAAATTAGCTCTCATGATTGTCAAGTGGTGGGAAACTTTTTTGAAGCATCAAGCTTCCAGGTTCTGAGCTTGGAATGGCAGAAGGCTACTCAGTTTTGCAGCAGTGCCAAATGGTTAATAGGATGGACGCGTTTGGTTTAGTGACTCTTATGCAGCGTGAATTCTGAAGGCATTTCGAAGTTTGTGACGCTCCTGATGCCAAACCCATGCGAAATGCATTTTTTGAAATTTGGGTACTTGAAAACCCAGGAGTGTTTCGTTAGCATGAGCGCAATACGTCGAAAATAAATGTTTGTGTGCTCTTACTGCCAAAGGAATCATCCAGCCTTTTTTCCAAAATGACGGAAAACCATGAAATGCCAATGGTGAAACTCATGAAATGTTCCAGATGTTTGCTATTACTCAATTGGAGCCCTTTGACCTCAATGAGACCATCTTTCAACAGGATGGGGCTCAGCGTTGTTGCGCACTCAACGTGCGACGGCTCTTACACCATCACTTCCGATGGATTGGAAGACGCGATCAAACTCCCCGGGCTCCTCGGTCACGTGACCTGACCTCTGTCGACTTTTTTTCTGTGGGGCTACGTAAAATCAAAAGTTTATGCTCTGAAGTCATACAATTTAGCAGATTTGGAAGAATGCATCAGGACTGTATTGTAGGGAATTTCCCTGGAGATGTCCAAAGTTGCGAATGAGGTTGTTCGGAGGTGGGTGTATTTAAATTGGTTTTGCGCTTGTGGAATGTTATGAAAATCGTAACGTTAATTTTCTCATATTGAAAAAAGTGCTCTGAAGGATGATGGATTTGGTTTGGTGAATCTCTTTCGCTCTTAGATAAATTAAATTTTGAAATTAGAGAAGGAACTTTGAATCACTCTGTAGGGGAACAAGGATATGAAGAGGAACAAGCTCTGGGAGGAACTGAAAAATATGGATCCCTGGCCACGTGTATTCAATTAAAGAGAGGTTGCTTCAAGCGATGCAGCAATTGTTCGACCTAAATGAGTAATTACCTTTACATGGGCTAACGAGGTGAACATTTTTTCACTTGTACCTGGATTTCCGTGTCATTGTGTACTACCCTTCATAAGCTGTGAATGATTGTATTCGATACAGGAAGTCCTGTTGGATTATTCTAATTTTGGAGTGTGAGTTATTATTATAATCAGAAGTGTTGACCTTTTGGTCAACACTAAAAATATTGTCAACACAAAAATTAGCATATTTTGGTACTAAAATATGCTAAGTTACTCAAAGTCTGCAAATCTACGCATAGTAAAACCTATTAATCCGATATCGGCAAATTAGGCTCAGCCAAACTTACCTGCCCTGGAAGCTTTGAATTTTGTTATCTTAATCACCTGAAGCCCACCCCAAGTAAAGACTTTGCAATCTGAGTCCAAGAAATAGCTATATAAATTAAAATCCTGAAAACTATCCACAATTGAAAATTCCTAAGTGTCTGCAATAGCAAAAATTAATGCACTGATTTCTATAGGGAGGTATGGAAGGGCTTGTCGCCTGGCCTTGCACTGCTCTCAGCTTCTAGCATTAGTGTGCGGTAGGCATTAACTCATCTGCATTCTTTTCTCCAGCGCTTCTTTTCGAACACAATGATGAGCAAAAGGTCATGGCAAACTTACAAGGTGCAACTAAAATGAAAACCTAAAATCACTAGAGAACCAAAAGCATGTACAACGGCTTTTGGTTCTCTAGTGATTTTAGGTTTTAGAATCAGAATAAGGATCATGTAGAATGTTTTCCAAGCGATGTGTGAGAAAATCTGAGATGAGAGAACCGCTTCGTAAAACATAAATCACCTCCGGAAAAATTATTTGAGGAGATTTTAACAGGGGGGAAGTTGCGATTGCGTGAGGCAGTATAAGCCAATTATGGATTTCTTTAAAAGTGATTCAATGCGGGACTTATGCACTACTCGACGCATGGTGAAAAAGAAACGGAGTTTGTCTGCGATTCACATTGAGGTTATTTTCTTCATTTGATCATATGAATCCAAGTCCTTAGCCATCATCAAGATTAAACGACCGTGAGCTTTCGTAGAGCGCGTGGGATACCATGCACTAATAAATTATGATCGATAGATTCTTATTGATTATGGCACTGTTCCATCAGATTTGCCATTCTCCTTACTTGAGTAGTCCATTCGATACCTGCCATAATGAAGGAATTGATAACAGGAAAAGTGCTTCTTCAAAACACAGACGATCAGAACTGCCAAAAGACGTTTCTCTCCTTTAAGAGGCGTGATCCCGCGTGATTTTTATTCGTTCTCAGATGCTATTGGAAACATTCTTTTTAAGTTTGCTTCTCCCTTTCTTGCTCCTTCCGTTGGTTTCTCCCGACTATTTCATGCGTGGGCTACTCAGTTAGGAAAACGGTTTAGAAATTGCTCCCACTCGATTTTAAGCATAGGTTTTGATTCTCCAGTAAAGATTCTGGGTTGTAATATTGATGATATTGTGAGCATTTTTAAATTTCGCTCATGAGTTTATGTTTTCCGGCTCATAAACTTCGAGTGACGAAATGAACGAACCGAAATGATGGATCGACTGATACTTGCAGGACCCAGGATCGGCGATCCCGAAAGGAACCCTCGTGGCCGTCTTCATTACGTTCACCTCTTACATCGGGTACGGGATGATGTCGGGCGCGTGTTCTGTCCGAGAGGCTTCGGGTAATCCAGAAGAAGTCCTCGACATGGAGAACCTCTCCAGCGTATTTCTGCATCCGGCCTTCAACTGCACGGGAAGAGACTGTGAATGGGGTCTTCTGCAGAACAGCCAGATGATGACTGTCGTCTCCGCTTGGGGTCCTCTCATCTACGGAGGATGCTTCGCTGCCACCCTCTCCTCTGCCATTGCCAGCATCGTCGGTGGACCTCGAGTCTTCCAGGTGGAATTCCATCTCATCGAGTCGACTGGAAGAAATTTTCCTCCTGACAGTCCTTTCTGTCCCATAGGCATTGGCCAAAGACCGACTGTACCCAGGGCTCCACTTCTTTGCAGTCGGGCATGGACCAAACAACGATCCTCTAAGGGGATATATCGCCTGCTTCCTTCTCAGCATTGCTTGCATACTCATCGGTTCATCAATTCATATTCGATCCATCATCTCTCTCGCTTTCTCTATATTTATCTTACCCTCTATCGCGCAAGTAAGGCAACCTGCAAAGGCAGTCTCCATCTACAGTACATCTAGAGAGAATGAAACTATAGTACGAGACTATTTGTTCATTGTTGGTGTTCAAGGTCAGAATCAGAGTATACTTCGTATAAAGACTTCTTTAAAAAAAATTGATTCTGTGATAAATTCCTCATGACTGGGAGTCTGGGAGTGGCGTTTAAATCCTCCATGGGACGCATAGTCTCATCATTGCATGCTTGACTCTTGCAGCTGACCTGAACGCTGTGGCGACGCTGCAGGTTAACTTCTATCTCGCCGCTTACGGACTCATCAACTTCTCTGCCTTCCATTCCAGCTTCACCAAATACCCTGGCTGGCGTCCTTCCTTCAAGGTGCGCCAGAGCAAGAGCCGCGACTCATATACGGACACTACGAAACAGTTTCCTCCTCACGACTTCCATTTCTTCCACAGTTCTACAATCTATGGTTGAGCCTGTTGGGAACGGGGATTTGCGCGACCGTCATGTTCCTAATCCAATGGGATGTTGCCCTCGCCACCTTCGCCGTCACTCTTATCCTGTATCTCTATGTCTCTTACAGGCGACCAGGTGGGTCCATTTCGTGTCATGTTGTGCCGTCCAGGGCGCTTCGTTTTATCCGACTCCACTTCCTTTCATTATTATGCTTAACGAATGCAGATGCGAACTGGGGTTCGAGCACGCAGGCACTTGCGAGCACGAACGCATTGAGATATGTGCAAAGCATGAATCGGGTGGAAAATCACGTGAAGACGTACAGACCCCAGGTCCTGGTCCTAGCCGGACATCCGAGCACTAGGCCTGCCCTCATGGACTTTGCTCATTTGATCACCAAGTCTTATGCCCTTCTGATTGTTGGTCACGTCAACCGGGATCCTTTCAAGTACGAAAACCGGGTGTCCCTCATTCAGAAAGGATACGCTTGGCTCAACCGTCATCACATCAAGGGATTCTACGACGTGGTCGAGAGCGACTGCCTCGACCTAGGAACCAAAGCGTTGTTACAATTGTCTGGATTGGGGAGACTCCGTCCCAACATGGTTCTTTTAGGGTTTAAGGCTGATTGGACCGAATGCGACCCCGTTGAAACTCTTCGATACGTCAACATCCTCCAGTGAGACTCATCACTTTTCTCATTTTTCGGAGGGAGTCGTATAGACTTAAGAGTCCGAAGTGATTTGCAGTCTAATAAGGAAAGTTTGATTTTTTCTTACGAAAAACCTATTGGCAGCTCGTGATATGCAGCAGCAGTGGTTATTCAGGGGAGACATGAGAGGCCGACCTTCCCTGTCTCCGCTGATGAACTACTTTTGCTGTATATCACAAGCCACCACTGGAATTAAGTTTATAACCGTTGAGATGTTGATGCTGTTGAGTAAGTAAAAGAAGAGGGATCTCATGTAGGCATTTAAGGTCCTAAAGAGCATCGATAACATGGAACTTTACGTGTTTTTTTTCCTCCATGGTAGCTGCAGAACAATTTGTTGGAGGTAAGGCTCAAGGTACGCAATGGCTTTTTAATTGTCGGATAATGAATGCGTGGAACGAGTCAGGTGCCGCTAAAGAAGCTGGCACGTCCGTGGCATGTGTCTTAGAATTGGGGAGGTGGGTTAAGATGAATGCTCCACCCCGGCCTTGAATATTGATCTAGATAGAAATGCCTCTTGGCGTCCTGGCTTGAACTTTCATGATCACTAAGGGAATCGATAGCATGAAGCGTAGTAGATTTTTACAAATAAATAAGCAAAATCAGGACATGATACCGGTTCAAGTTACGTAAACTCCAAGGGTGACTCAGATTGTAGAATGACTTCTTTATTTGTGGGGTTGTAAATCCGTGGAATCCCCATTAAAGTTTGCATTACCATAACGCTTGGAAGCCCCTTTTTGTTATGATTTTGAGAAGAAACATCAATAACGCACAATTTTGGCGCAATAACTTATAAGATAATGGGCTCTTTTCAAAACTAACCAATGTATCATGAAATTCCCAGAATATGCAGACATGTTTTGACGTACATCACTAAGAAACCATCTCGGAAGTCTACAATTTCCCCAATAGATTTCCCCAGATCCCCCAATACACTTTCCCTAAGAGACAATCTCAAAAGTCAATGTTGAAGCCAATGGGTTAAGGGACGATGTGGTTGCTGTCCCTTCCGTGACAAACTTTAAGAAGTGATGCGTTCATGGACATAACAAAACAATGGGAGAATGTAGCTGTGACTGACTTGGCAGTAGGAGGATATGTGCCCCCCAAAACATATATCGTAAAGTCGGGTAAGCCTACACTCTTAGAAAAAGGGGAGCGATTTTTCTCAAAAAAGAGAGTAAAATAGCTAACTCCAGTTTCACCCCCCTTTCATTCTGGGAAAGGAGCGAATTTGCTCCATCACCAAGGAGTAAAATTGCTCTCCTCCTCCGTGAGTAAAAACGCTCCCATCAGAAAGTGATAGAGATGTCATGCAAATACGAAAATTCTCATATATAATGCGTGTCGCTTTCGCTCTCGTACAGGCGATGATCTTCCTCTGACAGTACTGATTACAGCACAGGTCAGAGGAAGGATCACCTCTTATAGGTTCCGTGGAGTACCCGTGATATCAGTCCCTTATTACCTCAATTAATTGAGATATATGATTAAAGTTCACGGACACTCTCTATTTATTCTAGATCTCATATTTGAGAACCAAAAGGGTTCTCAATAGGAATATGAGCTTGTTTATGGCCTGGACTCCATGAATATGTCTTGAATATGTGGATAAAAAATGATGAAGTGTCCGTGTTTATTGATTCCTATAATGAGACTAGGCGAGACGTATGGCAAGGTACTAAACAATCCTGCAAGGGACGNGCCGATCCTACGCATGAGTGCAAAATATGCTGCTTCATCCTCGAGAGAAGAGTTAGGGGGCCTATAGCAAATTCCTATCACGATCTTCCCAGTTGCCCCCCTAATCTCGCACCATAAGTGTTCGATTGCTCCACAGTTAGCCGAAGTGAGATCTTCTCTGACGCGAACGCCCAGTTCGGTTTTAGCGTACAACACGACTCCTCCCCCCTTTCTGCCGAGCCTATCCTTCCGAAAGATGTCGTATCCTTCGATCTCGAATTCCTTATCCGAAATGTGAGAACATCCCCAAGTCTCGGTTATTCCGATGACATCGAAACCATTGTCCAGTGCCCGCCCCCTGAGCTCGTCTATTTTATTACGTAAGCTGCGTGCATTCGCGTAGAAACACTTTACTCTTCCCTGCACACCATTACGCGGCGGTCTAAAGCTGCTCTTGTGTACTGTGTGTAAGTGTACTGTGCGAAAAGCGAGACCCTTACCGCCATCTAGGGGCCTGGCGAAGAACTTCAAGGTGTTCACTTCAATACGAGCGATGAGGGAGCATTTGGTGAGTAATAAGAGAGTAAATTCGAAAAGCTCACGGTGTGCTCACTTTTTACTCCCCAAACGCTCGGAATTTTCTAAGAGTGTATGTTATTCAAGAACTCTCGACCTTGACACGGGACGTCAAAATGGACGAAAGTGCCTCTTGTCGTCCCTACCTGAACATTGAATCTTACGTCTTGCAGCGATGCCTTCGACAATTGCTTGGCCGTGGGGATCCTCCGACTCAAAAGTGGACTTGACTTTTCTCGTTACGTCGAGGAGGACAGGAAGTCTGCAGAGAAGCTCAACGTCTCCAAATGCTCCGAGATAAGTAAGTCCGATGAGGAACGATGCGGCAGAAAGCCCACGAGACGGACGTCGAATGACGGCTGACGTCCTAATTTTCAGCGGGTCAGTTCCAAAGTCAAATCCCCAAGTCAATTTCCCGAAAAGATAGTTCTCCGACGTCCTCTCTTCTGGGGGATCTCCCAAGTGGCGAATTCCTCGATGATGGTAGGGGAGGGTGGGGCACCATAGGTAACTTTTTAGTAAAACGATGTAAATATTGCCTGATGCTGGAACTTTAACCTTGTACAGTCCGGCGTAGAATTACATTTCTGGATTGGCGATTTGAATAATGGCGAGAGGCCGTTCGTAGATGCGATTGAAAGCAGGGGATCAGGTGCAGTTGAGAGGTCGACTTTCAAAACATCAATCATCCGAACATTCAGTTTTCTGGCAAAAAAAGGAGCGGTAAGTTTGACCGCGTGAGTTTGTCAACAGCTACGTTGCGATAATCGATCTCTTCCGCCGTCGTGCAGCATACATGACCTACCGGTAGAGCACGGTAGAAGCACTGCATGCGTCTGAAAAGAGCTCAAGGGCAAGCACAGTTTGGTCATTCCCAGGAATGATCGGGTGGCATGAGCTGCTAATGGGGCACCATTCCTTACAGCCAGTCAAAAACCTGACTTATTTTGGTCTCAAGCCTGCTTCTTTGGGAAGTGAAAAGAAGTGGGCAAATGAAGCTTTTGCTGGTTTTGTAAATTAAGGGTGGTCCTTTCTAACGCTGAACAAAGTACACCGTACGTACGTGGTATCAGAGTGTTCCCTTTTCAAGTTGTTTGACAGATACCGCCACGAGAGGGAAGCAGAGAGAGCTGTGCTCTCCATAGTAGATGAGGTTAACAGGCATTAAGAAAAACTGCCACAATTAAGAACTTAGTTTCCAAGAGGTTCGCAAGCTTCAGGAGTCTGCAGGCTTGCGGGATAGAGCCTTGCTTCTAATTAACAACGCCCCTGCACATCCAGCAAGCGGACTACTAGAGGCTTAACATGACTCACTTAATGCATGCCTCGAAATATAACATGCATCCTACAACCCACGTAGCCAGTGTCATTGCGATGATCAAGAGTAATTATAGGAAGCAACAGCTGAGTCGCCTGCTCTTTGCTGGCGAATCAGAGGAAGAAGGAATGATTGCATTCCGCAAGCGATTAATTGCGAGAGATTGTGTTTAAATTGTATAGCTGGTGATGCCTTGAGTTCAGAGATACCAGAACTCGCACATACCTAGAAAAAGTTGTGGCCTGACAACAGCCTCATAGTCGGATCGAGTGATGCTGGTTAGCCTAATGAACCCTCCGAGACTGCGGGCATGCCTTATCAGTGCAGTGTAGTATCATGCAGCTTTCAGCAAAAGAACGCCTTATTTGTTTTAATTCTAATTGCAATAATACATTTTCACTTAAGTCAATATAAAATAATAAATTTTAATTGCTGAGGAGTTTTAAGTTCTATTGAGGCACAATATATTTGCTAGTGAGTTGGCGCGAGTGTACATATGTCAGCGGCATATACTAAGGCTAGGCAAAAACGCCAAATCTCTATTACACTTTTGAATGAATTATGAATTCAAAATTGTTTGTATTTTTATTTATCAATTCTACCTACCTGGAGGTCACCTCGGTCTTTGTTCAAGTTCCCGCGTAATTGTAGATTGAAGACGTTATCGACCGACCTTGGTCTGAATAAGCTTTAATGAGAGTAGAGAGGCGAAGTCACCTCAAAACAAGACATATTATACTCAATGCTTGGAGATTTACACCATTAATCTGTAAGGAGATTTTCCAGCAAGGAAACAGACTGTTGGGGAACTGACTTGGAACTAATGACAGGGCCGAGGGTTCTCATGCATATATATAATCATCCCAGGACTACCACAAACAAATAGGCTCTTTAAAAAAAAATTTACTGCTGTTCTTTTATCCATCTCAGCGAAAGGTGAATCGGAAACGCAGTCAACTTCCTCAGGAGAAGAGCAGGCTCACAAAAGCGAGCCGAGTGAGAAACCGCGCAGTGGCGAAATGACTCTCACGTACTGTGGAATCGAAGGATCCGCCTTACCCAAGGACGTTTTAAATAGCATCACCCGATTCCAACATCCCCTGAAGAAGGGAACCCGGATGGACGTCTGGTGGCTGTACGACGACGGAGGACTCACCATCCTCCTCCCTTACATCTTGAAGCAGAGGGCCCAGTTCTCCTTCGCCTCCCTCAGGATCTTTTCCCTCGCCTCCTCCAAGGGAGAACTGGAACACGAACAGAGAAGGTTACCCCCCTCCCCCCGCTCTCTCTCTCTCTCTCACACTCTCTTCCTTCAATCTTCTCCATATCGTCTCCATCCACGAAATGCGAATTCCTTGTCGTGACTTCAGCATGGCAGCGCTGTTGAGCAAGTTTCGGATCGACTACAGTGACGTGGTTGTCATCCCGGACGTGCAGAGAATGGCCGCCGACCAGACACGCCAGGAATTTCATGCCCTCATCGATCCTTTCAAGGAGACCGCCAACGAATCTCGAGAAGAAGGTAAGATCTACTCCACTTGTTCTACTCGTGTTTTTTCTGTCATTCTACAGTTACAGGGATTTTCATGGTGTATCGACGACATCGGCAGGGACTTACATTCCGGATGCAGAGTACCTGGCGAACAAGGACAAGAGCAATCGGCAGATGAGACTCCGTGAACTCCTTCTCGAATACTCTCTCGATGCCTCCCTCGTTGTCATGTGAGTCCCCAAAGTGCATACGTTGACTATGAATCTTACTCGAAACGGAGATAACTAACAGTGAATACCAATGTCGTTGAAGGTCATGTTGGATTGTAGTATGTATATTTGCGTTGGGAAAGATTCGAGAGTATATGAAACTAGAAGTACTACTGGACGTTGCACGCAGGACTTTGCCGATGCCACGAATGGGGACGGTATCGGCCCCACTCTATATGGCCTGGTTGGAGACGCTCACCAAGGATATGCCTCCATTCCTCCTAGTCAGGGGAAATCAGACCTCCGTTCTCACTTTCTACTCCTGAACGTTGTTCTTCTCTTCGTCCCGACCCTTCCGTGCATTCTGTCTGGTGTTTTTATTTGAAGTGCACATCCCCGTCTAGACATTTTTCAACCGCTCGCATGCTTTTGTTGCAATGCCGAGGTTTACGCGTATTACGAGGTTTTAATCAGAATGTATCGATCTCGATGTTTTATAGGTTTATTTTTTGTTGGTGCAAATGTTGTGGGATCATAGAATGCTTTAGGCGTTTGTAAAATGCCTACCTTCATCAATTCGTATCGTTTATCCTACCCACTCCTTTTTCCCGGTTGTATCGCTGCATTGTGAATATCTATATCAAGTGAAAACTTTCGAATCGCTATTTTCATAGACCCTCTTACACCTGTAAGAGGAATTCCTTATGGAATATGGCAACAGATAAAGCATATAACCCTTCCATGGATCCCTAGGATGTCGATATCATTCTATTCACAAAACCTGAACAATTACGGTATTGATACGCATCAATGCGATTAGACCCCTACTAGAATTTGACACATTTTATTCAATTACAGATTATTTGACATTCACTTGACAAGAACAACCTTGGTCGAAACCAGGCCCGGCGCGGGAAAATGTGGGGCCCCCTGCGGCAAAGACATTGGGCCACCTCTGGGTTCCGATGATTTGCCCCTCACTTCATTTTCGATTATCGAAGTTATATTAGGAAAAAAAAATGAAAATCACTACATTTTTTATTAAGTAAGGAAGGAGAGGAATTTATGTAGGTTGTCCAAAGGTTTAGCGTTCGTATTATTGGGACCTTTGCCACCAGCTCATCGATCACTTTCTTGTGATTCAATGACCTGCTGATCTCCCTCTCGATAGAGAGTATAGCTTGTCCTGTCGGGCGTTCTTGTTTTGCTTGATAAGCTATAAACTGTTTCATTTTGGATAAGCTTCTTTCTGCAGATGCAACTCTCACTGGAGCTGTGAGTAGCATTCCAAGAACAATGGATACGTAAGGATACAAGGGCCTGACTACTCTTGTGAATGAATCGCGGAGTTCCAAGAGCATCAAGTGGCTCTGGTCGAAGCGTAGCCAGACTGCGAAGCTCATCGATAAGGTCGTTGATCTATTGAGGTTAACCTTGGTAAAAGGTGTCTAAACATTGCACGCATACCATCGATGATTAGGATTGTCATCCGTTCATAAATAGTATCGATAATACATATTTCAGACGCTTCGTAGATACTGCAAACTGGTCTTAATATGGACACTGTTTTGTCCATATTATAAACTTATTGAGATTTTTTTAATTAATAAAACTTAATATGTGCTAAAACGGCTCTTTTCCGTAAGTCAAAAGCACCAGACCACACTCTCGTAGTATCAATTGGCGTCTTGACTCTGGGTATTTGTGGCATAGCCGCATAAACAAGTACCTCGTACTTCGAATATATTTCCATATTTCTATGCGCCCACGTTTTGTTTAGTTCAAATGTGGCAACACTTTGAACACACTGCAGCACGTATTGAGTGATTGAGATTCTATTAAGATCTTCAAATTAACATTATAATCTTATGGGATTCAGCATAGATCGTATTTAATTCACCTCGTATTTATCTCCAGATGATTTATCCACATATTATTCTTTCACTGCTTAATCTTAATTCCCCGTCTTTTGGGACATGATCGCACCTATGATATTATACTTCCCTTGTAAAGATTTTAAATTTCTGGTAAAATTTTTTTTTCTTGGAAATCATACCAATTTTCTATAGGAAAAAGCCTCTTTCATGAAATCCACAAATTCCTCGAAGGAGCCTGCGGAATTGGAAGATATGCGGCAGGTTTTTTTTGCTATCCCCCGATACTGCCTGTCGTGGTCTTTCTTTTCAAGGCACTGCACTCTTGGGGGATTCATGATCCTCTTATTTAAAAAATGCAAGAACAACTTGATTGCGTTGATAGATTTCAATTTCGGATCAGGCGTCAGACTTGCTTTCATATCTATTCCGTTAGCAGCATGGAACACAATGACTTGCGAAAACGTCTCACGGGTGCTTCGCTTTTGCCCACATTCGCATTTTGCCATTTGACCTGAGGCATTAGCACTTCCCCACTGCGACGGAGAGCGGCAACACTGGAAGACGTGATTTCTAAATCGAAGAGTAGATGTCGTACGATAAAGACAGCAGATACATCTGCCGAAATGCGAAAGAAATAACAAAGCACAGGTACTGCCTCATTCGCAATGGGATCCAGAGGGACCCTTTCGCATTTTTTCACATTCTCAGTTCATCGCCAGCCCCCAAACATTAATTGGGAAAACGCGAAGCCCCACACAGGATCATTCTCGTTTCCCCACAAGAAACTCAGCATGTACACGGTGAGAAAAAAAAACCGGAGGAAGATGCTACAGCAGCAAGCACTTCTCTTGAAATCGAATGCTGACTTAGCATCTGGAGCTATTTCACTTCGTGGCTTCTTGAGAAATGTCCGTTGCGTACTGTCTTTTGAGTAAAAGCGGAATCTGGGGTGCTATTCTTCCTCAGATGTCACAAGTACATCAGAAAATATTGACTGTGCAGAAGTCCGTCAAATTTGAGTAAAAAGAGCCGGTATAAAATCTGCAGTTTAAAAGAGAACGGAAAAGAAACAACCAATTAGCCGAAATAGGCTTTTTAAATAAAAGGAATTAAAAATGGAAAAAAATGAAGTTGACTGGCAGTTTTGGGATTTGATATTCTTAAGGATGCCTTCAGAGGAGAAACAAAATAGGGTCATCATCTAGGTCTAGAATTGAGAAAAAGTCAACGAAGGGAAAATAATGAAAAAGAAATCATTTCCTGAAGTCTTCTCGATGGCTTGTGGGGTAAAACGCATTTACGAATCTCGACGGCGACAGTTCGAAACCAAACGAGTCGGCGAGGTTAGGGAGTGGTGATCTGAGAACGACTGGAAAATCAACGACTGCGTTGCCGCACTCCTTGAGGAAGTGTTGAAATGCGACGAAAATGCGAAGTGGGCAAGTGCAAATGTGAGAAAGTAGTGATAATCCCGTCTCACCCAGGTCCTGCTGGTACTGCTCTATTTTAGGCTAAGTCCACTCTCGTCGCAAGAATTCCTCAACCATGCCTTCCTCTTCTCATGTTTTGAACATCGGATGATTCTCACCCAGACTAATGCACCGAATGTAATAGATCAAGTAGCACGGTAATGCGTTGAACTTGCATGAACGACTATAAGAGAGAAAGAGATCCTAGACACCGATAAGAGCCGGTTGCCCTTTATTCAAAATAAAATGAACACCCTCTGCAGCGCCCTTGGTATCATTACAAGGGTGGAGCGTGTGCCGCGTGGTACGACATGACTCACTCTCGATAAGAAAGACGAATTTGAAATGCGAAAAAAAAGTGGATCAGAAAGACGGCTCTTGGTCAGACGAGGCATCTCTCCCATCCAGTTCGAAATGAAATTATTCTGACATGGGTGCCTGACACAAAACCCCCTTGAGCAACGGCCCACTGAAAAAAGGAGGAACGTAGCAATGGTGGGGGAAAATCGTTGAAAAAACGGAGAGAGGTACGATGAAGTCGGTCGGGAAATCAGATCGCAGTCAGATTAGAATGGTGTTTGTCTCCCCCATGGAATCCCATTCCCTTTCTTTCCGACGGACGAATTAGTTTTGTCTTATGGGTGCTGTAGGAAGAGACCTGACTCCGCTTGGGACGGTAAGTCCTATCCGCTGTGCCTATCCAACACGCTAGTAGCTTCTTTTTAACGAGCCGACAATTGGCTCGGGCAAATTTGGAGAGTCGAGGGTAAACAAGGTGGAGGGCATTCTCATCGTTCCGTCAGCACCGTCACTCCGAAAGGGGGATCTCAGCCTATCGAAACGCATGCTTCCTTCTGTATTTCTTCTCCATTTGCCCCAGAATTTGGCACGTTGTCCCGTTCTCTCCTGCGCGAAGAAAATAATATTCCAACAGACTGTAGGAAGTAAAGGTGCGCAGCGCAGTGAGAATTTCTTTTCCGCGTGGAATGGACTGGGAAAGGTGCCATCACTCAGTTGACGGAGGATTCCCATAGGGCTCACTGCATCTTCTCTCGTCTACTCGTGACCTTTAACCGTTGACTTCCGACATGACTTGGCAGGTGAAGATGAAGGAAATTTCTGAGGATGTCGTATTGGGATCCGTCTCGGATGCCCGGAGGTTCCAAGTGAATCGGGTGAATTCCCACTCTTCGGATCACGTGTTCGACCCCGATCCCACGCAGGAGAACACGGCCGGTCTGTCCCTCTCCTTTTTCGCATGCATCTTTTTGGGCTACGATGAAAATCGCAAAGCCAAGAGCATTCCCTGAAAAAACCTTGGACATGAAACAAAAACGCTCGGTCTTCGATTCTTCCTTAAGTACACACTTCCCAAAATCGACTGTTCCTTTGATAAAGAGGCGAAGTATTAATAGAATAGGAAATCCAGTGCAGATTCGACAGGAGCAATGAAATCTCGCGATTCGTTCAACTGATTGCATCGATTATCACAAGACAGGAGACCTCAAGTCCATATCGCGCTCAAATCGATTTCCAATGAAACCAATCCGATATCTTATTTGGAAGTTCCAAGAAGCTTCCGGAATAGACCCCACGAGCCTGCTTACTCGCGCCCAAATATAAATTATAATAAATCTCAAACAAGAGATGAAGTATATCGGAGACATTCCTTTCCAATAAGGACGATTTTTTTTCCTCCGTCACTGGAGATGCACGTTGAAGGCGTTTCAACTACAACTAGATCATTTTCTAAGTTTAATACCTAAAACTAGCAGAAGTGGTAATGAAGAGTTTTCAATTCTATTACATACCTATCATTAGTTATATATTTTATATACAAATATACAATTTCGAATTCAGCCCCAGCATTTCGGCAGGAATATGTTGAGAAAAATAATTGGAGTGCAGTTGGATACATTTTTCTTCGGACGTCTAAGAAATTTTGGCGCAAAATTCGTCTCAGGAAGACAGACATTTCTGCCCATCTTACCAGCAGAATTCAGAAATGTCAACCCAGAATTGCGGTAGCTATGTCGACTGTTTATTGGTGCCAATGTTGCGTTTCTCTAGGAAACAACAAAGTCCATCTTTTTCATTCTTGTACTACGCGGAGTTCAAGGACGGGAGTCGAATGAAATGGCAGATAGCCTCATGTTAAATAATGTAGGATTCAGACACATGGAGTAAAACAATCTAAATTCGGACAGTACCTATGTTCGGACACAATAAAATAATTTGGTATAAAACAAAGCTTTTGCAAGGTCC